AAAAAAAAAAAAAAAAAAAAAAAAAAGATTGATCTGACTTCTACCTAACCATTATGGGAGGACCATGGCCTCCCTCACAGAACCACCTTATGGAGGTCTGAGACCCATCAACCATGGTTCCAAAACTATGCCCTTGGCTCTTAGCTTCAGAAATCTAACCTTCTGTCCCCAGGTCCGAAAAAAGAGGTCCCTGGCGGTTCTCCTGTTGAGAGCTCTTTTCGCACAATCTGACCAAACCAGGGAACGGACCGCCTCCAGCACCAGGTTTTTGATGCAAATATCAGAACGGAATTCCGATCTAATAATCTGTCGTTTCTTAACTTTCAAATGACCTGCGTGATAGCCGCCCTGCATGTCGTGGCCACATACGCCCATTCAGTGCCAGTGTCTTTCTCATTGTGCAGAATACCCTCCACCACGAAGCTCTCATCCCATTGAACCTGATCTTCCACCTGGTCCCGCCAGAGTCTGGCCCACCATACCCAGATTCTTTTGGACTCAATACAGCCCCACCACAAATGTGTGGCTGTTTCCTCCACCTTTCTGCACCTACAACATTGGGTGTCAAGAGGCATTCTATTTGACGCAAGCCAGCATGCTGTGGGCACTATCCGGTGGGATTGCAGCCACGCCAAGCTCCCTATCTTTGCAGAAGGGATGCGTCTGAGGTTCCTCCAGATTTCCCTTAGCGATGCAGAAGAGATGCACCCCTTCTGCTGAGTTCTGTCCTTAGCCTCCATCTGCCAGCGATTCTTGACTCCCAGTGGAATGGACCAAGCCTTGCTTTGAGCCTGATACCCGACTATGGGGGTATACTTCAAGCAGCGTGATCTCCTTCATGGGTTCCAACAGTTTCCAACCCCATTGGGTTGGAATAACTTTCAACTTATTCGCAGGTTTAGCACCAAGAGGGCAGTGGTACTTCACTTCCCCCTTGGGTGATTTTTCAGAGTATACAACTACTGAGGCGACCTTCTGCAGGAAGACCACCTGTGACCACAGCCTGTCCTTGATTAAGTAAATCCCAGACTCTCCACACTTTCTTGGGAGCTGCAGAACCCCCCTGGACCACCCAATGCCCTTCGTACGCCGGGTGCGGGTCCATCAGGGTCTCCGTCCAAGTCTGTGGGATGCTGGTTAATATTCTATCCAACCTTTCTTCGACCACCCTTAGGTGGTGTAACCGTACTTTTAGTTCCGCTGTGTCTGAATTCCACAAGTCTGTTTTGAACCGCCAATACTTCCCTTGCCTGAGCCTCAAAACGCACTGTGTGCCAAAAATAGCCAAAGCGGCACAGACTTCTTTTGGCTGGCACCACTGTGAGCCATTTTACTCCGGTAGGCCGGCCCCCGAAAATTGTCGCCGCATGCACACTGTCTTGGAATGGCGGACTCCTTATTGCACTAAGGCAACGGCAGCCAACACCCGAGGATGGCCATTTCGGCGAGGTGGCCGAAACATGTTGGGTTTATCGCCAACCTCGCTCCTTTTATTCTCTTGATTTTATCCTATTGAGCGAGGTTATCATTGCGCTACTTACGAGTTGTTTTGGGGTTTTCTTCATCCTCCTCCTCTTCATCCCTTCTCCCTCTTTTCTTTTCTCTATCTATTTCTGGTGTTCGATGAGGCTGCTGATTCCACTTACGATCACGTAATCTAAGTGCACTCTCACCTGAGCTTTGTGCTCTAAGATGGTGTGCATGCATTCGACTTTCATGTCAACCCCCGAAAGAATGAACTAAAATATGAATCCCCATTACAATCCCATCAGGTTGTCCATGTTCAAATAAAAATGGAAATCAACAAAATGCACTTGCCGAGTTATCAAACCCTATCTCTGCCAAACAAAAAAAACGTTGATGCTCTCAACACCCCCATCCCTGCGCAGTATGTAGGCAACAAGTACTAAACCCTAACCTCTGTTATACCAAAGAAAGTTTTTCCATGCTCGTGGTGACGATTCGGGATTTTTTTTTTTTAACCGCTCCATCTAGTGGTGGGGAGCATCACCTGCTGGAAATCGGGTCCAGCGTTCCTTGAATACATGAATGCATGACTACATGAGTTGAATATCGTTGATCTATGTGGTGTGGACTTCTCTAGCACCTGATAGTGCAAATGCACCAAAAGCTATTCCGGACCTATACAGCACCTCTTCGCCTCTCTTTCTGGCACCAGATCTTAATGACAAAACCAGTGCTCTGTTTACTTTGACATGGGGGGCGGATGGATGCTGGTTTCCTGTTTGCTGAATATGTACTCTCCCTTCTTGGGTTTAATCGTTAACCCCTAAACCCTTGCTCCTCTCCCCAGCGTCTGATACCCTTGCAGTATTCTTTCCATTTTTCCTTCTTTATTTCATTCATTTCTCCCGTACCATTCCATTTCCACCAGGCAGTTTGATTTGGGTTTAGCCTGAAACGAAGGGCCATTTTCGGTCGTTCATCAGAACGACCGGCC